CTATCATACATTGTGTCGCAAACATATTGGGCTATCGCAAACCATAACTTGCTTCCCATCTCCGTTGATGTTTGGATTGCAAACTCAGCGGAAGGCCATCTTTGTGGATGAGCCTGCTGTGACTGGGGAAGAAAATACACTCTTCTTAGGTTGATTCGCGAACACGTTGACATCCTCAAAAGTGCCATTGGTCTGCAAGCATTTGCATTAGTGCGCTGCAGTGTTTGCACTTTGATTCAATAACTTTGTCTTGAATAACGGATTGTTGCATGTGTCGGACGAGCTCATCTTGCCTTGAAGGCCTTTTGCTTTTATGACTGAATCTATCTTCTCAGTCAGTTGACGCCACCTCCTCCTCACTCCTCCCACCAGTCCGCCATGCGTGGGTCTACTCATTCGCCCTGTTAAAATCGATTTGTGACTCGTTTGGTTGAATGGCAGGAAGTCTACCCCAACCTTGTTTTTGTTTGTTTGTTTGTTTTTTTTTTTTTTTATATCTGTCATTTGTTGCAGAGACTGAATAGCATTCCATCCCCTTTCCCCTTCCAACCTTTAAGGTGACAAATGCCAAAGGGAATTCACACAGAGCAGGTGGGTGTTGCTGTTGTTGTTGTTGTTGTTATTGTTTCCGCTAATTTGTCTCTGGCAAACTAAAGATATCAGTCCTGTACGGGAGTTTATGGTAAAATAATGTTTGCACATGTGAGACAAACCACGCCTTAATGACCACGCGCAGGGAGAGAAAGGAAAGCTGCGAGAAAGTGAAATGGCCGTGCAGCGGAGATTAGAAAAATAACGATTGGATTAGGTACGGCAGGATTGCCAGCATGGGGGAAAAACAAGGTGAAGGCGAGGCAGAAAAAAATGGCTCAAGATGATCAATTTTGCAGATTTGGGACCAAGGCATTTTGCACCTGCAGGCCTCGCACTTCTTAAGTTTCCATAAATATGGACACAATATCCAAGCAAATAGGATTTTTCTGATATGGCGATCCAGTTTCGACTCAATCTGGCCGAGAAATTTTGTGACGGAGGATAAAGAAGAATGAAGTGTGTGTGTGTGTGTGTGTGTGTGTGTGTGTGTGTGTGTGTGTGTGTGTGTGTGTGTGTGTGTGTGTGTTGATGGGGTGAAACGTGGCTCCAAATTCCTTTCACATCCAGAAGTGGAGTTTGCAAGCAAGACCTGAATTTGTTCTATTCCAGCAGTTGATTGCACGGCCCTCGTGATGAGCCCGTAATTTGGTGCATCCACGGGATATTGTTTGATTCTGTGATAGAATGGCCTTTTAGTCAAGTAACTGTCATTATCTTGCAGCTTCCGAACCTGACGTGAAAATAACTTGACAGGTATAGTGCACGATGATGCTTGTTTTGATTTCTGTAAAATAAATGAACATAATAAATAGAACAAAGAAGCTGATGGTTGCGGGGTTAATCAAATTCAGACAAAAACCAGAAGTGGCAGCTGGCATTTGAAATATAGAAAGAACAATTGTAGCATTGTGAAATGTCACGTTTGCTCAATAAAAAGTGATCATCTTCATTGCATTGCTTAGCTTTTTGATTTCAATAATTCTGTATTTATGTTCATATCTCATGCTGGATGTTTGTGCGTCGCTTGTCTGCCACCTTTTTATCTTCCCGCAAGGATCAGTTCCCTCGTCTTTGTTTCTGAGCATCAGTGACAGCCGAAGCTCCGAATAAGAAAACAATTTCTTTGGTAATGATGATAAAAGCCCACCTAAACTTGTGATGAGAACGATCTGTCATCGCAGCGAAACCAAACAATCCAACGTAATGAGGCAGTGACTCAAAATACTGGCGCGTTTTTTGTAACTAATAACGTTCATAGGGTTTTAATTTCAGTAATTCAACAAATTAAACACAAAAAAAGTTTAATTTCCACACCAGACGCCTCAGAGGATGATGAACTTTCATAGACTCAAACCCCGAGGCTCATTTCATTAATTAACCGACTGCATGAATCGCACACTCAGCCACTGTGATGAGCCACAAATTCCCACATTAAAAAAAAAAAAAAAAAAAGAGGCTTGATAACAGCGAAATCTTCGAAGGGAGCATTGCTACTGGCCCGCAGTTTCCTTCAGTCCACAAAAATCCAGATAGTGTAGGTGTGATTGCATTTGCTTGACTTGATGCATGTACGGTATTTGCAAGCCAGTGTGTCTTTGGGTGTGTTGAAACCACACTTGTATACGGTTGTGATTGGATATGGATGGCTGAGTATAAGCCTCACTTTTTACTTGCAAGACCGGACAATAAGTTTGTACATTTTGCTCAGGTGAAACAATGTCAAGAGAAGTTTCAAAAAATATCTTGCAAAAGCATTTCACGCAGACAAACGTCGCGTAGCTTTCCGCTTCTCTGTGCGTGCATCGCCTGCGCCCGTGGCTGCGATGAAGCTCTTTAATGGAGGGCACAGACGCTTCTCCGCCAGACCGCTGACTGCACGCTGGGCTCAGTGAAGGGCAACAGAGCGTTGTCCAGCTTTCATGTGCTCCACGAGAAGCTGTTGCCGTCACCGGGTCAACTCATGCAGCGCAATGTATTCAAAAAATAGTCTTGGGGAGAGAGAATGCTGCACGGAGGACGATGCCATGGGCTCGATTGACAAATGGATAGATGGATGATCATAGGCAATGGTGCCTTGAGGTATGAGTGTGCCGAGTTTTTCGAGATACGGGCCATCATACAGCACATTTTTTACTTGGACTTGCGAGCGCAAACTTGAGCTGCGCGTGCTGTACGGTAGCAGCGAATTCATTTCAAAGAGTGTGAAAAATTCATCCAAAAAGAGGCTTTGAGGTATTTTATCTCGCACCCAGTTGAAGCTCGCTGTTAAAGTAAACATCCAAAGAAAAGAATAACGGTCATTTCCGTACTACTACAGATGAAATATCCGAAAACACGTCGACTGAACAGTTTAAAGTTGGAACAGTTTGATTCGGTCCAAAAAAGGAGTCGAGGAGGAAAAACAAAACAAAACTGATCATTTTTGTGGGAATTTTAATGGTGAAAATTTAGAATATTTGATAAAAAGGACATTTTGGCATGTTGAAAACCGTTCCTAAGGTGAATTGAATGTGCTGAAAGATTAACGTTTCAAATAGGAAAAATTGGAATGTGCCATCGGAAATTGATAGTGAATTTAGGGTGGAAATGTTTTGAATTTTATGAAAAATTTGAATTTTCGGAACAAGAAAATTAGTAGCTCTGAAAAGCCTGAATTCTTGGAGTGTGTTGAAATGGGAATTATGTGAATCAGTGAATAAATGTTGAAATATAGATCAGTAATGCCAAGAAAATTTGTGTGAAAAATGTGACATTTTGGACATGTATTATTTTTGAAATTGGTTCCCAAGGTGAATTCAATGAGCTGAATAATTCTGTTTTGATGAATGTCTCATTGGGAATGAAGTGGATGATTGGAGGTGAAAATTTTGAAATATGAAAAAAATGGTACCCCATATGACATGAATAGTCTGAATATTTTGAAATTTGAATAAAGTGAGTCGGATGAAAAATGTGGAAGGACATGTAGGACAAGAAAGTGGTCTGAAGAATTTTGGAATGACAAAAATTGGAAGGCCTTAGCCTTCACACAATTATCGCCCATAATTAATTGACCTATGAATATTTGCATCTCGGTCAGCAATTTATTTCGACAAGAGCTGCGTTTCACCACGCCTTCATTTTACGTGGGTTCGAGCCTATTTCACTCATTTTGTGGACAGATGAAAACATGAAACTGAAAAAAGTCATTGACACTGGATTTTTCTCCTTCATTTTGTTTGCCATTTGTCAATGTCTTTGACATGCGGTTAACCACTGGATACAACAGAGCTCAGCATTAAATTTTTTTTTTACTCTATTAGCACAGTTAATGGCAATCGCCCGCAATGCATTGCATCAGTAAAGAAGCTACACAATCCCACAAAGGATGTCATTTGAAAGTCGTCCCTTTGCAAAGCTTTATTTGTGGTTCAAGCCTCTCAAGGTTGTCGTTTAATCACAGTCTTTTGAGAAGTAATAGCATCGGTGCCTTCTTTTTTAACTAAAAAGTGACTTATCATCTATGCGCATATGAACACTTGATAGAGTGCCCTTTGTGCTTTTAAAGATTGCGTTGAAACCGCTCCTCCTCGTCCAATGGATAGTGTCAGTGACCCCCTACTGTCCTCCGTTGGCAGCTGTGCGCCACCGCAACTCCTCGAACAGGTGTGCTTTCGGCTACCGAGAGGAGAATTGATCACCATTTGAGTGTTATTCACCGTGAGAGATTTATTTCTTAAAAAAAGAAAAAAAAAAAACTCTGTCTCCTTTGACCGCTATGATCAAGACTCACTCCGATCTCATGCTAGCTGTGGCAATGTTCACCATCTTCCGCCCCCTTCTGCATTTCACCATTTTTCAAATGCGGGAGCACTTCCTCCAATTGCAAGCTTTCTGTCTGTGCTGAATGGAGGTTCACTCAACCGTTTTATGCTCTGACATTGATAAGCTCCCTATTTGTTCTTGCCAATGTAATAGAGTCCACATCACAACTTTGGGTTTTTTTTTTTTTTCCTCCAGAGCAAATTGGTCAAAATATTGGTCTATTTGCTAATTTCTGTACTTGTCATCCGAAAGTAAACACGTTCTGGAGATGCCTTACTGTGATAGTGGGAAGCTGCAATACTTTCAGGCCTCTTCAACGCACGTCATTCGCTGAAGAACTGCCTGACAAGCTTGTCACAGATACCAAGTCAATCTTTCTTAACGTACGCAGTTTACAAAGACATCCGTTGTGTTCAATGCTGTTGCTTCAAAAAAAAAATGCTTGGTGTGGACAACATGTTGGATTGGATTGGAATTGACAGACAGCAGGAAAACGGTACCCCAGTACATGCATGGAAACAACATAAAGTCAGTTCAGCTGGAACTAACTATTTCTCTGTTTTTTTTTTTTGTCTTCCCCCCCTTTTGTCTGTGTATCCCAGCCATCCTACAGGTTTCTATTTCCTTGAACAAGGTGGAGTTAAGTGTTGGAGAGTCCAAGTTCTTCATCTGCACAGGTACAAATGTCCCTGCTGTGTGTGTGTGTGTGTGTGTGTGTGTGTGTGTGTGTGCGTGTGTGTGTGTGTGTGTGTGTGTGTGTGTGTGTCATATGTTTGGAGACTGGTTGTATAGGCACAGTAGTGGGGTTTGTTTGTTCTTTTAATGACAGCTCCATCCTCCCCATATGGTGAGTGACATTTTGACCGCCAGTGTTTACTCCCCCTCATTGTTCTCCCTAAATGGTCATCAAGAGAGGCCGGCGCTGGCAGGTCCAACCCACCTCCCGCTGCTTGCCTGTTCTCCTTTGCCAGCCCACAGACAAGCATAGCCTGAAAAGCGTGTTGGAGGCATGCGATAAGAAGCTCCTCCTCGACACTGCAGGCTGTCACGCTCAGTGCCGTCGCCATACTGCCAAATGGAGGCCATAACCATTCCCACAAACAAAGTCTTCAATCCCCAAAATATAGCGGAGAATGTTTTTAGCATGCGAACAGCATGTTCGTTGCAGATGAACTAATTCCAATCATCAAATTCTAAAAAAAAAAATCGTCAAAAGACTTTTCGAAAAGGACACGGTGTCACTTGTAGTTCCTTTCCAAAGTATTGCTGCATCTTACAGCCTTCTCAGTCATTTTTGTAACTGTGTATCAACAGAAAGCAGTTTGACCACGTTGTCTTTTCATGAGCAGTGAAAAAAAAAAGAAAAAAATCCATAAAAATGCTGATGGTGGATTCCAAAGCAAACAAACAAGCCCAAACAGAATTTACAGTATTTGAACAAAAGCTGCATGCAAGCGTGAGGGGAAATGCAAATAAGGGAATGCGATATAGCAAAAGGTCAAACTGAAATGAGCTAGCTAAACAATACAGGAACAAGACAAAGGTGAACGGAGAGACGTGGAAGGATGACAGCTAGTACAAACTAAAACTCAAAACTAAAAACTTAGAAGCGGCACAGAATGCGAAATAGAAATTCATAGGAGTACTTCAAAGCTAACACTCTGATGAAAAGTATTTACTGGCAGGACAAGAAGACTGCTAAACAAACACAAGGGCAGCCAAACGCTGTGGCGATGGTAGTCAGCAAACAACAATAACCCCACATCTTCCTTCAGTCTCTCCCGCATCTAAATACCCTGCCGATGTCATTCAGCAGCAGGTGCGATGCAGGAAACTCCTTGGAAAGTGCAACAGTGAAAAAAAACAAAAAAAAAAACAGCAAAAATAAAATTAGGACAAGAGCAAAATATTATTCTCATGAAAACGTATTCATAGACTTACCCTGACAAATGTTTGATCTGAGTTTGTAGCAAGAGTGATTAAAAAAATGTGTTCAGAAAACAAGAGTTGCTAATCATTAAATAAAATGATTGAGCTTGGCTCACACTAAAGAGCATTTATGTGATGTTGAACAACAAAGGGTCCAGTGAAGCGAGAGGCTCAGCGTGACAGATATGGAGGTGGTTAAACTGACATGATGGTATGCGTAACCTCTCCAATAACTGCAGTGGCATCATGCCAGAACAAGTGTCAGCTGCTGAAACACATCAGAGGGGCTCGCAAAATGCATGTTTGCCTTTGCTTTATATGAACTCAACTTGGGCGCAACGTGACAACAACATTAGTCGGGCAAAACATTTGTGTGATGATCTGTTAAATTTAGTTTTTTTTTTTTTTGTTTTTTTTTATATAATGCTGCTTTAGGCCTGAGCATACACTGCAAAGAAAATAGTTCATGTTCAAACTGATAAAGTTGGATTATTCTTGTTTTTCGGCAAATAATCATTAACTTTGAATTTTATCGCTGCAACACACTTAAAAAAAATACAAAAAAACTGCTGGGACGGGGTCATATTCACCACTGTGTTACATGACCTTTTCTTTTAACAACAGTCAATAAATGGTGGGGAACTGAACAAAAGCTTTGTAGGCGGAATTCTTTCCCATTCTTGCTTAATGTACAGCTTCAAGCAGTTCAACAGTCCAAGGTCTCTGTTGTTGTATTTTCTAATACTACTACTAATTTAATAGTTTATAATAATGTCATAATTCATAATGCACCACACATTTCTAATGGAAGACAGGTCTGGACTGCAGGCGGGCCATTCTAGTACTTGCACTCTTTTAGTACGAAGCCACATGTCTGTGCACGTGCAGAATGGGGTTTGGCATTGTCTTGCTGATGTAAGCAGGGGTGTCTGTGAAAAAGACGGTTGGATGGCAGCATATGTTTGTCCACAACCTGTCGCCATTAATGGTGCCTTCACAGATGTGTACTGTAAGTTACCCATGCCATTGGCACTAACACAGCCTCAAATCAACACAGATGCTGGCTTTTGAACTTTGCGTCCATACTAGTCCAGATGGTTCTTTTTCCCGTTTTGCCCGGAGGACACGACGTCCACAATTTCCAAAAATAATTTGAACTGTGGACTTATCCACGTTTCATCAGTCCATCTTACATGATCTCTGGCCCAGAGAAGCCGGCAGTGTTTTCTGGGTCTTGTTTGCTTGTGAATGACTGAGCAATTCAGGGAAGCTGCACACCCAACCATGGACTCGGGCTGTTCACCTGTGCGATGTTCCAAACAAGTGTTTGATGAGCATTCCTCAACTTTTTCAGTCTTTTTTGCCACCCGTCCCAGCTTTTTTGGAACGTGTTGCAGCCATGAAATTATAAGTCAATGATTAGTTGCTAAAAAAAAAAAAAAAAAGACAAAAAAAGGTTATCAGTCTGATCATTAAATATCTTGTATTTGTAGTCTATTCAATAAAATATAGGGTGAACATGATTTGCAAATCATTGTATTCTATTTTTATTGATGTTTAACACAACGTCCCAACTTCAATGGAATTGGGTTTGCATTACAAGTTGCCTCATGTCCTTGTAATTAAAATCCTATTCATCAGCTATTTCCAACTGTCAGCTGTCAGGGTGTTGTGGCGCGAAAGGAGCCCAATCAATAATAATGGGAGAGCTTATGCAGACTTTAAGAGATGTCTGACAGGGTTTTCCACAAGTTGCTGTTGTGAAGACAGCAAAGGGCTTGGATGGGTGATGAAAAACAACACAGCATGCAACACATCCCCATCTTTTCATATCCTCTGTGAATTAAAAGTCATCATGGGAGTGGTGTCAACTTTAACATACCTAACTGTCACATCGTGTGTGAAATGTGATCGGATGCTAACAGGTATGTCGCGACATACTGTATTTCAGCGGGAAGCCAGGATGCTGAGCAAAATAAAATATTCAAGCCCATCTTTGGCTATGTCATCATATTTGTTGTTAATGAGTGGCAAGCACAAGCGCCAAGGATGTGATGTGACATGACAAGGCACTAGCTGTCTCACAGAGATCAGTCAGGGAGCTGAATGGAATGTCAATTTCAGCCATTTTTAGCCTGTCAAATCGAGCCAGAGTGACATGAACCCAATATAGTATTATCGGTGAAGTTAGACTTCACCCGAAGTTTACTGTCAAAGTAAACATAAAACAAAGAGACTTATACGCTGTGTATTTAACAACCACATTAGTCCGTTGTGTAATGCCAGCACATAACAATAAATGCCATAGATGGGCTCGTGTATAGCATCCATGTGGCGGCGTTATAACGCTATAAGCAATGCGTTAAACAAAACATTGCCCTAACCTATTGTCAGATCCTGCTTACCTATCGGACTATCGGGAAAGTCCTGGCCGACTCTCCGTTCAAAGGGTTGAAACTCCCCTTACCCCTACGCTCTAACACGGTCCCCGGAGCGGACAGGAATTAGAGCGGACGTAAGCGGACGTTATAGGGACTCGTTCTCACTACCACGCTTTTAAGAAGTCAGTCCTGCCCATTCATCCACCTTTATTGAGTAAACTTAGTAGAAATAAGGTGAACATAGGGCCATTTCCTTTTTTCTGTAGATATGGTGCGTTTGTTAAGACTTTTTGGGGATTTTTACTGTCTGGTAAGACCGTAAGGATTCATCTATAATTTGATACAAAGCCGGAGTAACTACTTAGATTCCTTAATAGCAACAACCGATGTTATGGATGTAGCCGTTCTTTCATTTAAGTGAGGGTGAGTGTGTTATAAAATAATAAAGATGACAAGAATCAATGAAATTGATATTTGTTAAAGATTTAGCAGTGAAGCAAAAATGTAAACAATAATTATCAATCAAATAAGATGGAACGTATTGAGTTGAGAATCATCAAAATATGCAAATTATTACTGCAGTTAAATAATACAACCATCAAATGATTAAGTTATAATTTTAGAAGATTTAATAGCGCACCAATAATGCAAACAATAATCATCAATAAAATAAGATCGACCGTATTGAAGTGATAATCATCAAAATGTGAAAATGCTTCCAGCAAAAAATGAAATCTACTAGCAACATGTCACCATTGATTTACTGACTAATTAGTCATCGAAGGTGATGTCAAATTCCGGAATTGTTTGTTACTTCCACCATTTCGAGCAAGGAGGGAGTATGGTCGTCTTCCAAGCATAAGCTTGGAGCAATATTTATTTCCTTACTAAGACTTTGTTTTTTCTTGGCTTTGCAGTGATTGGCGAGCCGGTGAGGCTGGAGTGGTACAATCCTCAAGGAGAGCGCATCGTGCCCTCCAAGCGCATGGCGCTGCACACGGAGACATCGCGATCCCGCCTTATCATCTACAATGCCATTGTTGAGGATGCCGGAATCTACCGCTGCCAGGCCACTGAAGCCAACGGTCGCACAGCAGAGGCCTCCGTGGTGCTGGAGATTTACCGTAAGGTCGACGTGTCGCACACATTTCTGTATTTATTGCACAGAGCGTGACATGAAGATATAATGCCCTTTAAACACGCTCGCTAATAATCACGTTGCCACTCAATAAATCTGCATATTTTAGTGATTTGGAAACTGTTTTATGTGCATGTGTAGGATTATGTGTGTGTATGTTCCCTCTTTGTCTTGTAATTAAAGTATAATGACTTCTAGCCACGCCATGGGACTCTGATCCTGCATGGCATAATGAGGATATGCCACGGAGGCCAGCCTTCCTTGCTGACCCAGCACTATTTCCTCACAAAGAAATGTAATGTTATGAGGCACAAAGGTAGAGAGGAAGTGAAGTGTTGTTCAGTATTTACAGAGACAATTTAACGGTGAGGACGGTATCATTAAAGCTAACTCTGAGTAGGCCCTTGCATTTGTGCTGCGGAGGCGACGGAATATATGACTTTCGATTTTTGGCAAGGTTTGTGACATGTTCAAGGGAATAAAGAACACATTATAGTAGGATGATTTGGGAGAATAATTTCTCGTGCTGAGCAATTTATCCTACTTTAATCGTGATTTAGATTTTGGCTTCCCATGATCATAAAATCATGAGAATAGAATAAAAACCCTGAATGTGCCATATAGTGCTGTGTCTATGCAAGTTCCTGACATTGTGAAAGTACCTTGAAGGCACTGTGTTTCTTGTGCAGCAAGCATGTCACATGGATGTGATTTGAATTGTTTAGTGACACCCCAGTTAGAGTATCGAGCTGCAGCAATCAAAGATTTTGGTATTCGTATATCCAACTAAAAATTACAATGGAATATTCAGGTATCCGGATAAAAATAAAAACGTCTTTTTTTTTGCTTTGTTAAAGACACAGAAGGCAAAAAAAAAACAAACACGTTTCAACTTAATAATAAACAGCCAACTGGTTTTCGTTTTTACATCATAAACATGTTATGATTAGGTTTAAATTGTCCATAGCAGCGCACTATTTTCCTCTGGAGAAACAGTGTGAGAATTTAGACAAATCTCTCGCCATGAATTTCGGCCTATGAGACAAAGTGTCATCTGAAACAACACACTTGAGTAAGCCTGGTTTATCAAATAGTGATCAATGGGATCGGCAACTGTGTCAGGCTTTCAGCCTCAAAAGTGTGCACAGTCATTAACATGTGAGGGTCTAGCGTGGTTAGCTGGACTAGCTGCACTAGCCAGGCTAGCAGCGCTCAAGTTAATAGACATAAATGACACTGCAATACGGTGTCAGCATAATTAAGTCTTTTTTTTTTTTGTGCCTTTAATTATTGAAGATTATTGCAGGACAACATTGTTGTTGTCAACCGTAGCAACGGTTTGTAACGGAAATAAAACATGCCGCAAACATGGTCTGAAAGTCAGCCATTCCACTGTGTCACGTTGCCGGTGTTACAACTTCAAAATAAAATTTTCCTGGCCATTGATGACCACATATTTTTGGTAAGCAAGGGTTATTTTATAGGACATGATTCATTTTAAAAACATTGCCAGCGCTAGTGCTAAAATCAAACTCAACCCCATTGACATGCTAATCGAAAATTAGCATACATTTCCATGAATCATATCCATTCAAATAACCAATCACCAAACACAAACACGCCTGTAAAATAAGACTACCTGTACTCAAAGGCACAAATTCTTCCCAATCTGTGAAAGATAAGTTACATTAATTGAGCTCAAGCACAACTTCTTGCACGCTCATTTTCTGATTGAGGAGCATACAGAGTAGGAACAGCTGGTATTTATTTTTTATTTATTTTTTCATACCAACACACATTTCCAGCTGAAATGGTATGAGGTCCCATGTTAGCCCAGTAAGTCCCAAGTCTTGTGAAAATTTAAATTGAAGAACAAAATAAGATAATATAAATATGATGAAGTGATGAAGGGAGGCACTTCTTCACGGTCCGTATGTTTGCAAAGAAAGATGCAAGGTAGCAAAGGTGTGAGTGCACACGCTCGAGGCTTGAATATCACATGATAAGTGATGATTTACAAGGAACCATTTGCATTTGACAAAAAGAATTGCGTATTCAAGAGCAACGTGTTCAAGACGCAAAGATGAAAGGGCTTCATGCTATCACGGCAGTTTCAAGCAGTTGTTTTTTTGTACAGTAGTTGAATAAATATTAATTTTAGAGATCAATGAAAAATCGTTTTTATTAATTGTGGTTTATATATCAATCAAAATAATCGTGCCACACTGAAAAAGGTACACTGAAGCGTTGGGATTCTTTTTTTTGGGGGGGGGGGCGGATTGCGGATTCTAATTTCTGTTTTTCAAGGAGGGTTTTTTTCTCTGATTTGAAATACTGTACAAAGTATTTGTAAAACGTTTTCATGTGTGAGTTATTTGAGAGCAACTGATGCAATTACATTTTATTTCCATGTGCTGAAAAGAAAATGTATCGTTGTTAATTGTAAGATGATGGCTGATCAGGGGGAATATATGATGTTCCAGCTCTTGAAACAATGATGTTTTTTTCAATATTTGGGAAATTTTAAAGATGAACAGGGTCAATTTTGAACAAAATACCAGAAAGAAACGTGGGGTATGACATCAGTTACTGCTTACCTAATATACTACACTACCCTAATATTGTGTCACCAAAGATGCATGTTAACATGCAATTCATTTTAACCTATCTTACACTCAAATACACACATTTGCAACTTGATACATGCTCACCTTTTTCATCCTCTTTCCATAAGCTGTTTGGGGAGACATCACAGCCTCAATCTCACCTGCCGCTGCCAGCTCCTAAAAAACATGGTTTCCATAGCAACCAATCTTCAATCGCTCCAGCCCTCAGCGTACACCTACATGAAAGTCTACCTGAAGCCTCAGCCGCTGAGCCAGCCAAAGACCCCTCAGGCAACAGGCCAGGCCGGACACGACTCAGTGTTTGACATGAAATTCATTGCCGCTATGAAGAAAAGTGTCAACTTCCTGTCATCGGGATCTGACAACTCCATGACAGCTGCTTCTAATCATTCTGCCCTGACTGGCACCTGCATCCGGGAAAGAAACATGGCCTGGTGCAACCCACACAGCGGTGCAGACAGCTTGAGTTGTGTTATTGTTGGCTACTATTAAAAGGGGCTACTGTAAACAAAGTGGGCCAATGACAACGGGACTGAATCAGTTGAGAAATGCAATTGCTGTTCATGCTCTCAGACTGATTTGCAGACCAACACCCAAATTGACGTCGCTGGATAACCGAAGTTTCTCACCTCTCGTGTCGTGTCTGTGTGCGGCATACTGCTGCTAAGGGAAAGGATGTCTCCCCCTCTGCGGCGCCGCTCGACTGGAGGATGGGGAAGCAAACAAAAGGAATGAGCCTTTGAGCCCTACACAGCAGCACAAGCAGCAAATAAGAGGAAGAACATGAGAGATAAATCATAAGAAAGCACTGGAATGAATGACAAATACGTGCGCTGGCTTGAAGTTAATGACAGTACTGACATGCCAGACACGTACGCAGGCGGATGGTGCAGTCGGTGGGAAAGCAGCTTGACATAAATCAAGCAGCAAAATGCTAATGCGGTAGCCTGTTAATGGAGAAGACTGATACGGGAGCATTGCTTGATTAATGTGTAGCTTACAAATGCCACTCACAGGTAATAGCAGATGGTTGCCTGGCAGTGTGAAGAAGAGCAAGTCTTGGATAGGGCTGTCACTATTGATTTTTTAAAAAATCGATTATTCCATCGAATAATCGAAAAATCTGATGGATTTGCACCCTTTGTGCTATATGCCAATTCCCAGCCACCACCGGTCAGAAACCCGGGGAAAAATGTGTTGGTTGTGTCAGGAAGGGCATCGTGTTAAAAACTGCACCAAATATATCATTGCTGTGGCGAACCCTGAAGTCTTGGCCCACCAGACTAGTGATTTAAGTGCTTCCAAGCCTTATAATGTTGTATGGTTCTTTATGTAGGCATACACTGCAATTGACAGTGTGCTTGAAGAGTGAAGCGTCCTTTTAATTTTGGCCCGCAAAGTCAGTCAAAATAGAATGAGCTTGTATTTAATTTTGGTGAGTTGCAAAGCACACATCAACACAAAATATCAAAGTGCCCAAAGTGTTAAGGATGAAGACTTAATTAAGGTCCAATGGCAACTGCCAAACCTGATCCCTAATTTATAAATCAATTAATCCAAGAAGTCTGCACAAATAATTTCATCCAAAATATATTTGAGCTTTTCAATCACAGCGTGTGCACACTTGACCCTTTTTTTAAAATGTTGTTTTTGTGTGTACAATGAACTTAATATTTGACTGCATGTTGAATGTTGATGAAAAAACAATCTTGTTCGATCTTGCAGAAAAGCTGACTTTTCGAGACATTCAGTCGCCGCAGGAGTTCCGCTATGGTGACACGGCGGAGGTGGTTTGTGATGTCATTAGTTCGCCGGTGCCGGAGGTCGTGTGGTCCTACCAGGGCAGGGAGATCGTTGAGGAGCATCCCAGTAAGTAAAAATAAATGTGATCTTGCAGAGAAGCTGACATTTTGGGACAGTCAGTTTTTGCGCTGTGGCAGAACTCCTAACAGTTCTGAACTGTACTTTTTACGTTCAATGGAAACACAACTACATTTGAATGATAATTAACCCTCTCATGCACCCTGTAACCTGATAACATGATAAGCTGTCCACTGCCGTGACCGCTGTCCCTAAAAGGGTTAATTTGACATCCTAACAATTACTTTCCCCAAATTACTGTAGTTCTGATTTTTCCAGATGACGAAATTTGTGCTTGCTGAAAAGATGCGTGAACATGACAAAGTTGTCTCTGAAATGTTATTTCCCTTGTCTGTACTGACAAGTTATAGGTTAAGGGAGTCAGAAAGAAAATTAACATTTAAAGCGGAATTAACAGAATGGACTGAAGAAAAGACATGATTATTATGATCTTATGCATGTGGAAAATTTAGTCCCCCTGTTCGTAAAAAATAAATTAAATAAATATAGTACTTCTTCACTAGAGATTGTTCATGTGTCTCTGATTTGTTCAGATTTGAAATATTTTCACTTGGGAAATAGGATTACGCCAATCCTCCGTTAAACTATTACCGTCATTAAACCTTTATCGTGTTGTCGAGGCAAAACCAGTTCGTCTTTACTATCTCTGAAATATTTTGTGATGGCATCACGTGTTTAGTGTGAAAGAGGTGATCACCAAGTTTTCATGAGACCTCACAGGTGTAGTTTTCAAACTCTGAATTGTACAAAATTGCGGAATTGATTTTTGAGGTTGCTCTCAAAGTGCAGTCTGACTTTTTTTTTAGAGCATTTTATAGAGAAATGCGATAGCGTTGCCGCCACAATGAAAGTGTTTATCTCTGTCGACTTTATCAGGTGAACGTGTGCAAAAGAAGATTGACACCTAGAGGAGCGTGGCAATTTTCTTTTGCAATTTTCATACACATGCTTATCAGGCTTCTCTTGTTTGTCTGTTTCTTTGCTTGTTTTTTTTTTTTTTTTTTTTTTTTCCCCCTTGTGCGGTGCAGGCCGGCTCAAAGTGCTGACAAACAACAACCTGCAGATCCACCATGTGACCAAAGCAGACGAGGGCGTGTACCGCTGCGAGGCCAGCGTGGAGGCTCGTGGTGAGATCGACTTTGTGGATATCGCTGTCGTGGTCAACGGTGAGTTCGATCAATGTCAAGACTACCAGATATGTCCACACAAAGAGAACAGAAATGGTCCGAGTGCTCATCTCCTGGCGTTTTTGTTTTGTTTTGTTTTTTTTATTCCATTGAGCCTTGTGGCCATCTAAAAAAAAAAAAAAAAATCAACTAATTTGGATTCTGTCTGTGTCTCCCCACCTCATGTAGTATCAGGCCCCCCAAAAAGCACGAATAGTGTTCGATATCGCTCAGAACTTATCCTTGGAAAAGCTTGCTCATTGATTTGCGACACATTGCTGCAACAATCGCAGTGTTTGACTGAGACAAAATTGATTGTGTGATGGGCGAGGGTTTAAAAAATGTCACTTTGCTTCCGTTTCCACCGGCACTTTATTGTAAGCATGTGTTGAAAATGGTTGGTGGGGCAGAAACTCAGAATGTCCAAATGTGGCCAATTTCACACTTTTTCTACACCATTGAACTGTCCTCACATGGTGTCTTATTTTCTATGCATTTATTAACCAACATTGAAAATGGCTTAAAAACAATTCTATGAACTCTCTTGAACACTTCAACTGACTGAAAATTGTTGTCAAACTGATTTTTAGACAATATCTAGTGAAAGTAGTAGGTGAGGGACATTTAAAAAGTAAGCCTGTTTTGTAGAAAGCAGATACATGTAATGCTTTGGTGAAGAAGTTTAGTTGCAGATTTTTTTTTCCGCAATTACACTGTTTAAGTCAGATCAGCGTTTATTTATTGCGTCGCTCGTGGGTCTCAGACGTGTGAAAGAGCATTTCGGAAGATGACGTAAACACAGTTGTTTGCTATTTTGCTCATGTCTTTGTGTGGTGTTAGGGGTCGATGCGAGCACAGCCTTTGATGTGGATGGCTGGTGCTCTTCATTGTATTCTCCCTTTATAATCATTCATTCATTCATTCATTCATCCATTCCGCTTTATCCTCACAAGGGTCGCGGGGGGTGCTGGAGCCTATCCCAGCCGTCTTCGGGTAGTAGGTGGGGGACACCCTGAACCGGTTGCCACCCAATCGCAGGGCACACAGAGACGAACAACCATCCGCGCTCACACTCACACCGAGTGACAATTTTGAGTGTTCAATCAGCCTGCCATGCATGTTTTTGGAATGTGGGAGGAAAATCGGAGTACCCCGAGAAAACCCACACAGGCCCGGAGAGAACATGCAAACTCCACACAGGGAGGCCGGAGCTGGAATCGAACCCGATACCGATGTACTGTGAGGTCGACGTGCTAACCACTGGACCACCAGGCCGCCCCTTTATAATCAAGGTCATGTAAATGGGCAACCTTGGCCTTTGCTAAAGTTGATTGGGTTTTTCTCCCAAAGTCAAGGCAAAACAAAAACCCATAATTTCACATATACAGTACATTATGTGTATTTTTCAGAAATGAACAGGATCCAGTGAATTTATAAAAAAGAAAAAAAAAACAGTCTTTCTCTCCCTTGTAATGTGTGTAAAAATTGCCCCATGAAAATAAACAGTCAAGTATAGCTCTATGGGGAAGTGCAGCCTGGCCATGACTGTACGCAAGCAGCTCGAGATAGAGTGGATGGCCGCGAGGCTCAGGTACATTAAGCAGTTTTATCAATCAGCTGTGAACGCTGCTGCTGGGGGACATCAAATAAACAAAAAGATAGAAGGGTGGGTGTGGAAAAAAAGGAATAGTCTTGTCTGTAGACCCCAGGACAAGTTAGGGAGAAGAATGAGGACCACAGATCCACAGCTATTGGCTACTCTCCCTACAGTGGGATCAAAATTGTTTTTTAAATAAATCATCTTTTGACGAGAAGTCAAGTAGAAATCCAAAAACAAGTGGTACCTGTTTTTATACTTTGATTTTCCTCAATGTATCTCCTTGTACAGCTTGATCTGTGTGGTAAAATTGTGGAGTGAACGCCGCCTGAACCTCAAGCATGTGGCCTATTCACACTTCCATATTTGGCTTATAGCAACACTCAGACATGCTGTTTTGTCGATGTTGTGCCGTTGGAAGTGTCAGTTTTGACTACTTCAGCACCGTGTTAACAGACATTGCCAGACCCAGTCATGCGCAGTAAGACTAAAATCGGGGCGGAAGCCGCTTACAGTGTACTTTTCTCCTTCCATTTGGAGTTTTAAATATTCATCCCTCTGTTGATAAAAGTCCTGGTTTTTATTTTTTTCTGAACATAGAAATTCAGCAAACAAGGCTGCAATGGGTGAGCCATTGGCGCTGCTAGTCTCCAGTGGATCATTGATGATAGAGGGGTGGGGAGGGGGGTGTCTTGACGAGGAGGGTCAATCAACCCGAGGGCAATATGGCTAGGCTGCACAACACCCCGGGAAGGAATCGCACAGAATAGCTGCAATAAGCCTTTCATCCACTGCATTAAATAGAGGAATAGGCTAAAATATGGCTCAGATGTGACATTCATCAAGGGATTTGTTGAGGCAAGTTCCTCCCATCAGCGATTGTTCAATCCGAGTTTAGAAGCTCATTGATCTTCTCATTGATAGTCTTATCTCGAGAGAGAGAGACAAGAGAGACAGAGAGACAGAGAGACAGACAGACAGACACACACACACACACACACACACACACACACACACACACACACACACACACACACACTGTACATGTCTAAAAAACTTGCATCCAGTAATCAGGCAAGATGTCATTTTGTTCCAAGCAAAGTATGTCATCTTCCAGATGTCTCTTCTATCCTTCCCGGACACAATAATTGTTAGGCCGCCCACTCACATCTCGTCCCCACAATTTTATTCGTTTCAACTGTCAAGAAAAACAAATGGTTGTGCCCATCATATAATCTTCATTTATGTTTTAGTAACAGAATGATTTGCACTGAATGGGCAAGTTGAGTTTGACCAAAAGGTCAACAGCAACTTCAGTGGCCTGCTCCTGGGTAAGGGTCTCATCCAGTGACCTTTAACCGCAAAAATGTTTTTTCTGGCTGAGTGGGCCAAAATTTCCCACAGACACAAGCACCGTGGAAAGAGTGGGAGCTGTTATTAGTTGCAAAGGTAGATCAACTCCCTATTTTAATTATCCTCCCTTCCTTTGGGTGTAATGTCTGCTGTTTACATGTAGTCTATGTTACATTCAGTGTTCCATTTAAGTTATTCTGCACGCTGTGGGACCTGCTGTCGCTGCTTCTGTGCGCGCAATGACTTGTTTTGACAAGGTCCCACAATCCCTTGAGTGCTCTCCTGGTTGCCTTAAAAGCCTTCAGCACACCAAACGATATCATGTGCTTTTGCTGCCACTACAACAAGCCTCGTGGTTCGTTTGAACACAAGATTTTCTTTCACTTTCACTTCTCGTCGGTGCAATGGTGGTCTCTAAATAATTTTGCTCAAATGTTATTTTTGCTGCATCGCAGTTTTTCTTGCCAACAATAAACGCGTGTGTGTGCGTGTGTGTGTGTGTGTGTGTGTGTGTGTGTGTGTGTGTGTGTGTGTGTGTGTGTGTGTGGACTTCAGAATGGCACCCATAGTGGTTTTGTGGCTATAATGAACACAAGAAGGCGTTGTGTATCTGCTCTTTTGAAGTGGTGTGCCCGGTTAACAAGGTTGCTTTCGCATGGGCGTGTGTTGCAAAGGAATAGTCAGAAGCACTTGGGAGTAAAAATCCATTGGCTTAGAAATCGATGTTTATCACATCAGGCAGGTGTTTGCCTCTTTGAACCGCAAAATCGCTACTATTGAAAGTGACTCAGTGTTTGATTTAATGCTTGGACCAGTTTTATCCCAGGAAAGCTTTTGATGCTTGATGGGTGAGCTCACTTCGACCACCGCTAACAGGAAATTAACAGAGCTGTGACATTGTCTATGCCGAGGATTCTCAAAGTGTGATACTGGTATCAAGTATCAAGTACAAGTTTATTGTCAAATGTGCTCTATGTGTAACATTCAGCACAGATGAAATTTCTTCCTTCGCAACCAGACAACAAGACAACAGGAGGAGCCGCTGCGGGTGCCCGTGCCGCCATCAAAAGAACAGTTCACATAAAATGACAAAATAATACAACATAACACTTAAGACATGGTACAAAAGTACAGCACACTTATTCAATATAGTTCAGTTGGATTTAACTTTTAAGTGCAATACATTTGCATTTCAACTTTTTGTTTTTTTTTATGAACTTTTATTTAGGTACATTTGTTGTCAAACTTTATGGACATGAGGTTTTAATTGAACCATTATTTAATTTTTTTTATATTCAAGCGCAATGTTAATGTTTAAATGATGCATATCATTACAGCGGCATATGATCATATTAAATGCCTGGTTTTGGCTATCACGTATCTCGATTATTATTATTATTTGCTTTAGTAATACAATACACGTAATGTCTCTATACTGCGAAAGTACCTTTTGGTGCAGATAGATCTCCATTAAATAAAAAAATAAAAAAATGGAATGTTGTGATTGTTTGTCAGTTGGTTTGTTTGTTAGCATATGCTATATCCTACTTTATGGACGATGATGAACTGACAGGTTGTGCAGTTACGATGCTGGCGAGAATACTTCCATTAATGCCATGATGGCTCAAAAAGTGAAAATCAATGCTTGCATCTGCACCTTTTTCCAGAGCCTTCCCACAGTGTAATATGTTGTTCTTGGGTGCACAACTTCTCTACAAAGTTCAGACAAATTAGATTTTGGATTTTTGATGTAATCATGCCAACTGCGTGTCTTCTTGTTCAATGTTTTACTCACGGCTTATCATTTGTTCAGTATTTTTCTGATTATCTCTGCCGGGACGTTGCTGATCCATCAGTTTGTTTTATGTGTTTTTACTGTAAAAATGAAAATCATATCTCGTTGAAAGTGAATTTATTTTGAAGAAAATATGCATGTGTTAATGAAAGTCCAGTAGTTGCAGTATCGAACCACATTTCATCCAATTGCGAACTGCAATTTTGGCACTTGTGTGGCAGTGCTCAATTTCGGTACTCTTGTGTGACGTTTTATGGCACTGTTCTTTTTTTTCTGTGTCCACAGTCCCTCCAGTTCTGTCCGTTTCCCAACAGTCATTCAACGCCACCGCCGACTACCAGGAGTCAGTCACCTTTATGTGCATCACGTCTGGATCGCCCGACCCTGTAGTAACATGGCACAGGTATCGTCCATCCAAAACAGAAACATGATGCGTCATTCTGCCATTCATGGCTCAAGATTTGCCAACAGCCATAGTATTTGTGTTCATGAACGTGTCAATACTTCCTCGAGGTAAAACAAGGCGCTGTGCTTTGCTGCTTATAGATCAAGTCGATAAGCTTTTGTGGCTCAGAGGAATTTGTATTCCGCCCTCGTACAGAACCTTCCCCATCCGTACAGTAAAAGCACGCGCTGCTTTGGCTGGAGGGGCGTTAAAATGAGTGCCTGAAAAGCCTTTGACACCATGCAGTCAGCTTTGCACCGAGTCACGAGAAAATTCGCTCATTGAAAATCTGCTACTTCCACGTGATAGTCTATTGTTAATGAATCGCTGCTTGTTTCCTGTGGCGCTCCCAATTATTTGATGCCAATGTGCCGTAAAAGTGTTGGATTCATTTTAGCCCTCTTAGGATTGATCATTTTTACCCTTTGGTGGTGCCACATGTCGATGCTGCTGCTTGCTGATTGCATGCTTTGCTTGAAAGCCAATAGTACATTTGTTGCGTTGTATGAAGAATCTACAGCATTATCAACTTTAACCTTAAATAACACAGTGTAACTCCAAGTGTCCCCCCCCCCTTTTTAAGCAATATACATGTATGTATGTGTGTGTGTGTGTGTGTGTGTGTGTGTGGTATGTATGTATGTATGTATATATATATATATATATATATATATATAAAATTTAAAATAATTAATGATTTTACCTCTAAGTAACCACCCGCTTTAGCCTCCCAGTTGCATTTCTTGTCAGTAGGACATTTGGCCTCGCACCCATGCGTCTTGGGTAATGCACTGCCTGTCAGTCAGCACAATGACATCCACCGAGCCGCGTGTCCCACGTAGCCCGTGCCGAAGATGAGGCCCCCTCTTCATTTCCTCTTTGGCTCGCCAACGTTATTATTCCTTGGCGTGGCTGCTTCCTCTGCTGACTTTCAATTATTTTTGCTCACTCTTTCTACAGGAGCCAGTGCCACAATGTCGCATTGTTTATGTGTGCGTATGTCTCACTACACATTTCCCAAGTTCCCAATATCTACCTTTCTCTTTGGCATGCAAGGCGTGACCTCGCACAAAAGTCCATCAGCATATTCTATACTTGGTCTCTTATCACTTTTCAATTCAGTGGCACAATGGCTGAGGTCTGAAAAGAAAACAGGGGCCAGCTTCAGATTGAATGTCTGTTTTATCAATGCCATCAAATAAACAGGCAAGAATAAAAATGTGTGTTCATACCTATTCTATTATTTTTCAATAAGAGCTGCAACCCGTATACAGAAAGTTGTGTATGCTTTGTTGTAAAGGTTACAGATTGTCATTCGGGACCGTTTTTTTTTTTTTTTTTTTTTTTTAAATTATATCCACGCACACACATGCAAACAGTGGCAGTTAACATTTGGTAAAGATGCTTGATGAAAGCCATATCAAAAAGTCTTCCTGCCAAAATTGGGAGAAAAACTTTTTTTTTTCATCCCCAGGAGTTAAAAGACAAGCGGGTTTAGGAAATCGAACTTTCCTCACACCATGACGCGTGTGTGATGAAGATTATCAACGCTGTATTCCACACCACAGGCAAGGGCTGCAGCCTGCAGCCAAGTGTAGCCAATACACGTCAGCCTTGACAACACTGACACACTGCCTGAGCAGAGGAAGAAGATCTCTCTGGGTGACAGATTTTGAGAAGCACACGTGAAGAATTTTGAAGGGGGGAGGGGGGGGGCGGCGCATTCAACCATTCACTAATAAATGAATTTGCGGAAGACCATTTCAAAGTACAAATAGCTTTGTCTGATTGTTAAGTTTCATTCACTCACTGTTGCTCATGCTATTTTTTTTTTTTTTTGCAGGAAAGGCCAGCAGCTGGAGCCTTCGGATCAGTACATTCTGACTCAACTGGAAGGTGGGCATAGCATGCTCACCATCCGCAACATCCATCAGGGTGACGGAGGCTTCTACTACTGCAAGTCCACCAACAAGGCGGGCTCTCAGGAGAGGGAGCTCTTCCTCAAAGTGTTTGGTGAGTCACCGAGGCCAGGAGTCAGTCGCCTGTTGACCTTTTGTAACTCCCTGAAAAATGACAGTAGCTCTGAAGGTTGGATATAATGTCAAATACAGATTTATTTGAAGGATGCTCCCATATTCTCTGTCGCATCGAAGTGATATGCTCAACTGAGCTTCAATTTCAATGACTGAAATTCTCTTAACGAAGATTTTAATACACAGTGCTGTATATGTTCTTTGTTCTTTGCTCAGTTCAGTCTGATTCTGCACAATCAGATTATTAAGCATGGCGATACAAAGCCGCGATGAGCATCGGTCTCCTTGAGCGAAAGGAAAACCCACGTTTTTTTGTGATTGCATGAAACGGACAGCCACGGATAAGTTGAGTGAGAGTGGCCATTGCAGAAGTAGCATTATATCATAGTATATTAGGTCAGGCTGTTTTGTCGTTCAGCCCGACGGGGTGAATGTGCTCTGGTGATGTTTGCTTTGGAAATTTCAGAAGTCCCATCCAATCTAAATAAAGCATTTGGATGTCAGCAAAGACCCAAACATCGCAAATTCTCTTCGTGGCTGTCCGGAGAAGCTGAGGAATGTTCAGATTCAACAAGAGTCAAAATATATGCTTAAAAAAAAGTTATTTTCAGGATCCGATTTGACAGTAATGATGTTTACACTTTTTATGCAAATACAAATTAAATAAATATCATTGCTGCTGGCATTGATAAGCCCTGTATAATTATGATGATAACCACAATTATAATGTCAAATGCAGTTATTAACCAACGCTGGGGTGTTTTTTTTTTGGTTTTGTTTTTTTTTAGACTTAAAAGAGAAGAAACTGATTGTGCTGGAGGTTTTCATTTTATCACAACAAATAACCACTTCACTATAAAAATGTTTTGGATTTTTAATGACGTGTTGTTTTTATGCCTGATGAATGAAACACACCCCACATCATATTTTTTTGCATTTATAATTCATAACCACGCTCTCATTGGCGAGCACATCTTGATCACTGGTAAGCCATGATTGTTCCCATTTAATTTCGGACACCACTGTAAAAACATTTTGGGTCCTTCCCTGTTGCAACACGACTTACAAAGGTCAAAACAGCAAGCAAGAAAGACAGAGAGCCCTGACCTTCACCTCCTTATCCTCAACACCTTTGTGATGAATCACAGACTGCAAGTGAGGCCCTCCAGTCCAACATCTGTGACCCCTGACTTAAAAATATGTATTTCTGGATGAATGGATGTCAAGTTCTGGATCAACCTTTGCTCGCTGTATGAAGCTAACAGTAATAACCAGAAGACAGCATATTTTCAGTTGAACTATTTCCCGGATGCCAGGAAGATGGCGACACGGCCGTGGAGCCTGCAAGATGCGGAAGAAGGTCTAATCTGTCCAACATGGTTCCTACTCTGATCCTCGCTGAGCCGCCCCCGCACAGGAGGGAGGCTTTAAATACTCCTGGAGCTGTAATTGCGGACGTTCCATTACAGTACTTGGGTCAAGATACATTCAGTCCTTCACACTGTGGGCCCTGATGTTCCTTCGTCTGTGTTTGGGATGCCTTGTTTTGACAAGGTTCCACACTCCCTTAAGTGCTCTCCCGACAACGTTAAAAGCTTCTACCCTGTACATCAAAGCCACAGTGTGGCCTTGCTGCTACTAGTCAAGCCTGCTTTCTTGAGAACTAATGTAATGACTTTGTTGGAAAGATGGTGAATAAATGTTATCCATGATATATACATGATGCACTCATATCTGCCCTCCACATGCAATGCTTTCAAGCTTGCTTTGAGCTCCTTATCTGGAGCTCGTGATCCCCCCGACACCCTTTGCACCACTTAGGATTGTGTCGGAATGGAAACACCTGGTGCTGGAGAACCATCCTTCCAAACTGAATTTTGTGCATGTTCAAAGCCAGGAAAGGTGGAACGTGCATCGCAGCAGGGGCAGGCTGAATGTTTGAGAAAGATAGAAATGTTTTATCTGTAAATCTGCTGAGAGTGGGCCAGAGGGTTTCCCCCTCAACTTGACAGAAGCAGAAGTCTGTGATTTATAAAACATCAGCACCTCAGTCATACATCAGCTGTGTGTGTTTAAACCTGCCGGCGCAGGCTTCGTATCCACTTTCTGACTGGCGCTCTCATCTTCTTTCACTTTTTTTACATTTCTCCACCCCGACACATCCTCTGCGGCCTCCAGTCCAGCCACACATCACACAGCTGAAGAATGTGACGGCGGTGGAGGGCAGCGCCGCCATGATCTCCTGCATCGCTGAGGGCGAGCCACTGCCGGACATCTCCTGGAGACGAGCCAACGATGGGCGGACCTTTGTGGATGGTGACAAGGTAGAGCCTGCCAAAAGACCCATCTGCCGCTGTATTTGCGCACAATGTCATCCAGTGTGAACATGCAAATGTGTTGCTTTAGCAATGCTAAGGTCCGGTGTTTCGTATATACAAACCCAATTCCAATGAAGTTGGGACATTGTGTTAAACATCAATAAAAACAGAATACAATGATTTGCAAATCATCTTCAACCTAAATTTGATTGAATACGCCACAAAGACCAGATATTTAATGTTCTAACTGATAAACTTGATTGTTTTTAGCAAATAAACCCGATAAGAGAACACAGCAACGTGTGTGCAGTGCAGGAGCTATACATCGGACATTGGAGAGACTAAGTCGCAGTTGCGCAGGGGCATAGTGCAACATCCAGAGTCAGCGGGTCATTTGCATCTCAAGAAGACGAGACATTCCTTTCCTGAAAAAGATGTGCTAATACTGTAGTGATAAGAAGGGCAGCTGGTTTGAAAGAGGTGTGGAAAAAGCTGACAAACTAGAGAAGCCGTCTAAAAGCAGAAGAGGTTTGAGGTATCACCTATCGTCTATTTATAGCAACGTCCTGACATCTGTCCCCACCTCGTCCCACGGTGGCCCTGACGAGCTGTTTTGCCACAAGGCAAGTGAACGATGACTGGTATACAGGACAGCTTTTTCACTGCCAACAACAACAACTACTGTACACTACTGTGAGCTGCTGCAGTGGGCACACCCACTGAGACACAAATAGGGAGACTCCACACCTAAAAAAATGTAAAACTGGAGCAAGCCTTTTGGGTTAATGGTGAAACTTCTTGATTTATTTATTTATTTATTTATTTATCAAGGGCACTCTAGTTGCCACAATTCAAGCTTTGTGGATTCAGCTGCAGAATATCTCTTAATGATCATCCCTTAAACTTGAGCAATAACATGAACTGGCTTTTATAATGATGATTGAAATAAAAATACAGGCGGCACGGCAGGGGCGTCACTAGGTTTCGAGAACAAGGGGGGCTTAGCCCCAAGGGGAACACAGCCCCTTTAGGGGGGTCCGGGGGCATGCCCCCCCAGGAGAATTTTTTTCTACATTCTGTTAAAAATCCATCAATTCCGTGCACTTTGAGAGCAAAATGAAGAGGCTATGAAGAACTACACACATCACATTAGTATCCTCTTTACTATGATGGGGCTTCCTCCCCTGGACTTTAACTGGACTAGATAATAGAAATTATAAAGAGTTCAAAAGTTCAATCTTGGTTGTTCAAGGGAATTAGAAGGATGCCCGATAACATAACCTATATGACAGTAGTCCTATATTCCTCTCTACCAAAATGTATTAATATATGCTTAGCAGTGGCGGGCCGTGCATTTCAACCTTAGGCCTTCAGTGACGTCACATACATACACAATATAGGCTCGTCAAGCAG